TTCATCTTAATTTTTTTATTTAAAAAAAATCTTTACAGATAAATAAATATCATGTTCTGTGCCAGATCAGTTGTGAATAATCTGGATTAATCAGGAAAACAGTTTGTCTCTTGAAATGAGTTAAACAGGAACAGCTGTATTTTAGAGGTTTCTGAACAAGTGAGCGTAATGTGTGGTCCACTGAACAGGAGCTGGAATGCTGTCGTATGAGACAATGTGTGACGAAACATTTCTCCCACTGAAAACGCTACATCCAGATGAACAGAATCAACCTTTTGGTATCCACTGCTTACTCTGACAATGCACCAGAGAAGTTTACTTTTTAAAGCATAGCACTGTATATGTATTTGGATTTAAAGTATAGATGATCCTCCTAATAAAGAGTCTTAGAGTTTCTGAATACCAGGTCAGTGTGGACCATTCTCAATATATGTAAAAACATGCAAGTTTCAAAGTGCATCTTTGAGATGCTCTGTGGTTTTTTATTTCTATGGTAAATGTTTGATCTAGTTAAAGATCAAACATGCATTCATACCTTCCTCTCAAATGGAACTAACGGTCACTGGTGAACTCAGAACAGTTACTATTTGGAAACTGATGTTAAAGGAATAGACAATTCTGACAATGACAAAGTCATTCACATCATTAAGGAATGTACTGCTTGAGTCATGGTCATTATCATGAGAATACTCGAGAATCAGAGAGCTCAATCAGCAGTCTCAAAGCATAAGTACTCGCTTCCCACAACTCCTTTCCTTTCTCTGATGGCTCTGTTGTCGATCTACCAGCTGCAAAAGATGGAAAGTGCCCTCATGTTGTGGCTTGATGAAGAGCCTCCTCAAAGAGCATAATCCTTGAGGCCTGTGCAGTACATGGAAGTTGGCCTCTAGAGCCTCGCATATGATTGACTCTGCCATTGTGTGTCTTCAGCTGTCCTTCCAAGTGTGGTTTGACAGGTGAACATCCAATGACTGCTCATCTGTCAGACGCCCTATTGTAATGCCACCACTGGACTCTGGAGTGACAAATCACGCTTCTCTGTCTTGCAGTCTGGGGAATGAGTCTGGGTTTGGCGGTTGTCAAAAGAACGGTACTTGTGTAAAGTTTGGTGGAAGTGGGAATATGATGTAAGGTTGTTTTCAGGAGCTGGCCTCGGCCCCTCAGTTCCAGTGAAGGGAATTCTTAATGCTTCAGCACACCTAGACACTTTGGACAGTTTCGTGCTCCCAACTTTGAGGGAACAGTTTGGGGATAGTGCCTGTATTCCAACATATAGACACAGATAAGCAGGTTTGATGTGGAAGAACTTGACTGGCCTGCACAGAATCCTTTGTGATGTTCAACAGCAGGTCAGATTTGCTGTTAGACCCCACTTCCAGTCTTTATGCTAAGTGAGGCTAATTAGCTCCAGCTCATCTCGTCATGGCAGCCTATACGGTCAAAGTACCGGCCGATCATGCTCTAGATCTGTCTCTGCCTGTCCTCCTTATGAAAAAGCTCTTGCAAAGACATTGGTGGGAAATGTCCATCTAAGTGATAGTTATTTGGTATCCCGATGATGAACAGCCTTCTAGGAAGCTCGGTTTGACACACACAGACTATCCTTACCTTGGTCCAATAGTTCTCAAGTTCTGGGCAGCATTGTGCCCATTGTTGGCAATGCCGATCAAAGAATGCCTGCTGTTTTGGTGGGGAAGATATTCAAGAGAAGGCAGATTTAACAAAGTTATTACAAAGTAATGGCTTGATTTGGACCCACAGTGGTTAGTTTGTTTTACTCGTTATCTACTCACTCTTCACCAGATAAATTTTTATTTGTCTATACACCTACAATTTAAACAGTGCTAACCTCCTAAGCCCTAATCTAAGGCCCAATTGAATAACCTCTGTCTTATTTCATAAGACAAGCTAAATAATTAATAGCAGTGTAAATGGACTGAGTCTTATATAGCCCTTCTCTACTCTCCCGGAGTACTCAAAGCGCTGTAAACAACATGCCTCATTCACCCAATCACAAGCACTTGCTTCTATACTCAAGTGCAATCTAACCAACATTCACACTCCTATTGGAGAGCAACTTGGGGTTAGTATCTTGCCCAAGGATATTTGGCATGTAGCCTGGGGAAGCCAAGGATCAAACCACCAGCCTTCCAGTCAGTGGCTGATCTGCTCTACCACCTGAGCTACAGCCACCCCGGTGGTAGTTGGTACTCCTTACTGTGTACTCCTGTCTTCTATATGGTCTAAGCCTGCAACAGAGAGGTTCTTTTCTATAGATGACCACCACCACCATCAGGATCACCAAACAAAACAAACAAAGAGGTTTAGGACAGAGACAGAACAACAAGCTGTTACTGTTTCAGCTGTTTCAAGCTGCACATATAATATAGTTCATGCAGTGAACACAGCCATTTGGTACAACCAAGTTATTTACAATTCCTAAATATTGAACCTACAGACTTCTGCTTGTAAATTTTACTTGATCCAGTTCTCTTCATTTTTATTTAAAGATTTTGTGTTTTCATAAATGTATTAGCAATACATCTCACAGTACTTGATTTAAATTATAAGCCAAAATAATTGAAAGCATTAAAAGAAACCCACTGCTATGTAAACACGTAATATAGAAGAAGGATTATATTACTGTATTAATGTATTGTTACCTTAAACTTTGTAATGTTATACACAGTGATGCCAAAGCAACTTCAACTCAGAATACAGGCTTACTTGTGATTCTTAGAGTATATATTTTAAGGAACCAGCTCCCTGTTTGGATTTGGGGGACAGACACCCTCTCTACTTTTAAGATTAGGCTTAAAGCTTTCCTTTCTAATAAAGCATATAGTTAGGGCTGGATCAGCTGAGCCTGACCATTTCCTTAGTTACTAGGGTTAGTAGTACTGGGAGCTTCCCATGATGCCTGAGTAGTTCTTATTCACTCACCTTTTTTCAGTCACTGTGTTTATACACCACCTTACATTAAACATCACTAATTAATTTATGAGCTACAATGTGTCTTTTGTCCTGTCTTCCTCCCACTCACCTCCAACCAATAAGGGCTGCCCCACCCTCAAAATAGTTCTGCCGTATGTTTCTTCCACTTAAAAGTTTTTCCTTCCCACTGCTGTGGTGTGTCTGTTGCTCCGGAGGCAGAGAGCACAGAACAGAGATTAGCTGAACTGAGCTGTCTTTTTCTCAGCTGTGTGCAGAAAACAAGTAATTGCTCTCTGTTGATGTCAGTGAAAATTCAACTATTACTGAATCCATGTTACTCTGTTAGATGAATGCCTGAGTGTTGCAATGTGCTATTAAAAAGGCTCACACATAAATGTCAACAACAGAGACAGCTTGTCATCTGACAGTAAATACTGTTTTGTGTTCTGCATGTCATACGGGTCAGCTGTTCCACACTTCAGTTTCATACGGTGGAACAGTTTGTAATGAACCTTATGCGAAGTATAATAGCGAAGTTCTATGGTCTCACATCTGTCCGCTCCCTGGTGTTGCCGACTAAATCTAAGCTTGACATCACTTCCACTTTCCCACACTGTCAAGCTGTTTGTGACATCCCTGGTCTAGTCCAATCATCTTCTCCCGGCCTTTTTCAGGCCAATCAGCATTCGTGCCACATACTTTGAATCTCACTGCGCATCTGGCATTCTCCTTTGCCTTCGTGCAACCCACCCCCTCCTCATCACCGCCTCTCATCACTTAGGTTCCATCTAAGCCACTGTCTTCATCTCCACCACCAGCGTCTAGACTCTGGGGGGTCCTCCTCTAATCCCTATCACACCTGGGGTTCTGTTCCACTGAGTCAGGCCATTGGAGTCTAACCACCAAATATCTCTATCTTAATTCTCTACATCAATAAATCATGTTCATTCTTTCTAATGACCTCTCCTTATTGAAATAATAAAGCCCTCCTCTGGATAAATTACACAGAACCTTTTGCACTGTGCCCATTGATTATATCAGAAAAATGAGCCCTTAAATCAAAAGCATATTGATTCTCCTTTATTCTCCTCTCATGCTGTTTTCAGAGCGAAACATATGTTGAAACCTGAATTTACACTGGATTATTTGGCTAGTAGGCCTTCCACTCGGTTCCTTACATTTCCCCTTCAGGTCTGCTGAATTTTGAGCTGCTAATATGTGCAGCTCTGGGCAGAATGCTGTTTATTTCTAAAGTGAACTGGCTCCATCTTTGTAAATAAATTATAGTGCATTATTAGTAGATCTCAGTGTGATATTGCAGAAAATTTGCAATATGCAGTATCACAATAATTTGCCCTGCCTGTTGTGATCCAATTGACCAACTCATTTCCTCCTCCCTAGGATTTCTATAAATGCAATAACAGTCACTGAACTGAACTGAATAATCCCAAAGCCTACAATACAAAAACAAACATTATTAATTGATTATAATTAACCTTAATATAGATTTATGTTCTTCAGGGCAGACAGCATCCTAACAAGTAGGGTTTTTTCAGCAGTTACAATTAACATTTACATGTTCTGCACTAAGTCATTTATTATGTTGATTGTTTTTCATAAATGAACTCAAGGACATCACAGTGAATTATGGCATTTTCGCCTCTCCTTTCATAAGGGATGAAAGGAAATGAATGAATAATAATAACAATAATAATAATTTTCAACTACTTTAACAGAATTTCCCAAATGAAACATTTGTTATCTTATCCTGTCTCATTGTTATTTCTACTAAAACAACTATAACTAAACGGAACATACATTCGTCTCCGTTTTTTAATATCATAGTATAATATCATTGTTTTGGAAATATACACAGAGATCCAAAGTACTGGGTAAAATAAATGATGTCGAACTTTATAGAACGAATATCTGAACTCTTGAAAGAAAAACCACCACAACAAAAAAGTGACAGCCATTCAATCCTTCTCGGTCCATCCTCTGACCACTCATGCAGCGTGATGTGCGTGAATCACGACATACCATCATGTGGAGTGATGTAGGCAGAAGCCCACAGACTGTGATTCACTGTAAAGGAGGAGCCAGTTAAACAGCGTGGACTGTCGGAGAAGAGAGGAGGAGAGAAGAAAGCGAGCTGAGGGCTGTGAGACGACGAGTCGGCTGAAGCGAGAGTGCGAGGTTTACCAGCTTTTTATTTCCTCCGGAACCCTCGACGCTGTCATAAAGAAGCCTGTGAAGTGAAGGACTCTCAGGATGGAGCGGATGGAGTCAATGGAGCCGATCTCGGCATACTACACCACGGCTTACCCGGAGATCCAACCAGACAGTACTTACGGATCCAAAGAGACAACCGAGAGCCAGGCAATGACTCCACCACCTCCAACATATGACGAGGAGTTGGTGCACAAGGTACGACCATATGGTCATCATGATACAACAACAGGTTTCATAGCCAGGAGCACTTTTATGCACTTACTTGCTGCGCGTTTTTTTCACGTGATTTTGCTTCTTGTTTATTTCTTCTTGTTTATTACTGGTGAAATGTGAGGAAACGTTTCTAAACCCCGCAGCATCCCGGTCCTTGACCGGATTTGCGCTCACGTGGTGCTGATTTACATTCAGATGCAATTTATAGTTGGTCTGTTTCCAGCCCTAATGTGTGTCAAATCACTTAATTCCTTCTGAGATGAGCTGTCAGCTTACAAGAAGGTCCCTCTTCACATATGAGCTGATTACTTCCTGCTGTCAGGGCAGGAAAGCTTTAAAAGAGGTCACTTTCTTTGAAAAAATGTCTTAACCAAACGCCAAATTCCCAAAGCAATCCTCACATTTAGGTGTTGATCACCAAAAAGTGCTGTAGAATAAAATTACATTTCAAACTCAAATTTTAGTTGACAAGTACACTTTCAGTTTCTCCTTACTGCGACCCAATAACCCATAAATACAACAGTAAATACACTAATTTATTTCTGACACCTTAAATTCCACACTAAAATACACAAACACACTAAAATGTCAGAGTGAATGTGATCCTGTTTTGACTGTTGTCACAAAAACTGTACAATATAGCCATTTGTCATTCAAAAAGCTTAATTGCGCTCGCAGCAAGCAGTTAAGGCTAAATCAGCTACATTAATGTCTGGATTTAAAGAGAACCACTGAATCCTTCCTGGTGCTCCCATTTGACCTCACTGTTGATGGAACAAAGATAAAAGAGGAGCTCCCTTTAGGCTTCAGTGAAATGTCACATTGTATTTCAGAGCTGTGTTGCAGAAACCATTTCCCTTCAGTCTGGAGGAGTCATGTCATTCAAATGGCATATCTTTCTTCTGATAAGCATCTGGCCTTCAGCCTGCTATGTTCTAATTTCTCTCTTTTTAGATATAGCAACTGAGCAGAATTAGCACATCAATACTCTGATTCAACTGATAAGACATAAACTTTAAAATAAAACTATCCGGTAAAGTCAAAAATGTGTTCCCTTTAACTAGCTGCCTTTAATTGCCTTAGAAATTTATTATAATCTTGCTACTTATTTATTTATGTTTGCACTCATAAATGTCCCAGATCATTGGGTGCACCCTTGGTTTAGGTTCAGGGTTATTGGCAAGGTTAGGCATACACTTATTTTTAAGGTTATAGAGAGAGTCTCTGGGAAATTAACAGAATCAAATTCACTTCATCTCTCTGAAGTCTAAAGGCATGTGTATGTGTCATCTTAGTGTGGAATGTGATTGGTTGGGACCAAAATGCAGACCCTAAAGGAAGGTAGAATTAAACATGAAATGAATTAGAGCAGGCCGGGCCCTGCCATTGACTGACCTAGGTGGAAGCACTGCTGCAGTACACAAAGCATTGATATCTCCACCAAGCTGGGTGCAGAGGTGGTGATGGACAGCATTACGGAGGACCAGGCTTACTCTTTGAAGATGGCGGGCTCAGACAAAGCCAATCTTTTAAATGCAGTTCAGAGTTTCCTTACATAGACTTGGGCTGGGAAGCAGCCGATTATTGTTCAAACAACACAATTATAATTTGTGAAATTGAAAATGAAATAACTTTTTTATTTAATATATATTTAATATTTTTATTTTATGAAAAGTCTGGATGTACCTCTTTACCATTCTCATGCACACACATGCACATGTGGTCTGAGTCACTGCCATAACAAATACATTCTGTGCACTGCCAGCTATAAGACCTTATGCAGAAACGTTTGTGATTTTCCTAATAATTTCAAATGAATTTCAATCATAAAAAAGGTTGTGAATACTTGTGTAAAAAGATATTTTAAGTATTTAAGTTTTAATAAATTTACTCCCAAACACTCCAAAAACCATCATCACTGTCATGGGGTGGATTTTGTGTGTAGATTTACTCGGCATTGTTTGGCTGTAAAAGCCTAAGGAATGCAGTGCGAGTCTTCACAAAGATAGATGCAATTCTAACATGTGACTGTTATATCAGCTCACACATATACACACCACACACAGACCTGTAGTGTCAGGGAAGCAGGTGCACTGAAAGGGGTCATATTCTAAGAATACACCGTGTTCTTTGTGTCTAAATCAAGAAGAGTAATTTCAAGTGAACTTTCTGCCCTTCCTTTGCCAATATAAATAATAAAGGGACTAATAAAGATTTATCCTATCTTTTGTACTCACTCTTCTCAGGCTTTCACTCTGCCTTACGTTTTCCTCCCAGGAGGAGTTCTAATTACACAACAAAAAAGGCTCTTTTTAAGAGCTCGTTGGTGAGGCCAGTACTTACTCATGAAGCTGAAATGGTTACAGTTGCTTTGTGGATTCCGTTCTGTTATTAATTCTTCCTTCAGTACTCACAGTTGTCCCAGGTGACATTTTTAATAAAGTCAACCTAATACTGCTTTTGTAATATTTTTGGAAAGATTAGCTTAGAGACATCTTTACAGACAGAGTGGTTTTGTATTTTTTCTTACTGCCAATATTTCACATTAATACCCACAAAAACATTGCATTCTTTTGTATCTCTCAGTGGTTTCCTGTTTTTTCCATTCTCTCCATGGCCCTCATCCAAAAGACACATTTTTAAAGCTGCAAAGCACTTTTTTCCCTTTTTTTTTCTTTTTAAAAAAGTCTGTAAGTGTAGTAAAACCATGGTAGCTACCTGTCCACCACAAAAAAGCAGACATCACTATCAACTAGCTGGTTGAGTGTTTAGCTAAATAGCGGCAGACCAAAACAGAACTAAAAAGGTGGATACAGGACTTTAATTTGTCTAAAAAAACAAACACTTGGTCTTACAGATTGCAGGGCACATTGACTTTTAGTATTGGAAACAGTGACTTTATCGCCTGTTGTTCTGTGGTTTCAAACCCCAGCTGTGCAGTATATCAAAGCTTAAATCAGTGGCAATTTGGAAACTGTCAAGCTAAATTACATTCTGGTCAATACTGCACATGCTCCAGGAAGAGAAAAGTGACATTTCAGAGAACTGTATCACTCTAAATTCACCCCATCCCCTAATGCTGTTACTCCAACGACTTGTAAAAAGACATCCCATACTTATTGCCTCAGTAACCTCCACAGAAGCTCATACTGAGGCTAGAAAGGAAATTTGCAGGCACTTAGCAATCTGCCTGTGAACCACAGAGATGAGAGAAATCGAATTCTTCTTTCTCTCGCGCACTACAACACATATACACAATATACATCATCAGTGTGTAATTCCCAAACATCTGTGGTGCATTCGCCTCATTACCTCCTGTCTCTAGAGGGGTTTCATGAGACAGTCTCACTTCTCGGCTAACTACAATTTAGTAGCATCACCACATGTACGTGTGTAGTGAGTACAATGAGTATGTTTTTTTTCTCAGCACTAATTCCATCTTCACATGTACACATGGAGGCATTATGTTACACACTCTCAGTTATGTCCAGTAAAGAGGAAAGTGATGCAGCTGAATCACAGCAGGATCAGATCAAAATATTTAAATAAATTAATGTCTTCAGATTTAGATGCAGTCAGTGGCTTATGTGATCACAGACTGCATGTAAAAGACAGATGTATCTTCCACATCCCAAAAAGTTAATTCTGTTCATCTGGACGTGGCGTTTTCAGTGGGAGAAACATTTCCTCACTCATCCAAGTGACTTCTTCAGTCTCAGCTGACTGCAGGTTTCCCCAACATTATAAACAGTACATGTGCATAATGACCGAAACTAGAATCAATGGTGAAAAATGGGCTGTCAGGTCAGTTTCTTGATCGTTAATGTGATCAACAACCACTGATCAAAAACCATTGATTAATGGCTATGAGTACCATTCACAGAGAGTGCAATCACAGCATTATAAGATGGTCAAAGATGTACCCTTAGGCACCCTCTTCAATTCAGAGATATCTGTATCTGTGGGGATGGTGTTTGCTCTGCGTTGTACCATCCTGATGACACCCAGTTTGTGCTTCAGTGGATGAAGCAGAAGCACAAGCCTTAAATAATGATTTGTAAGCGTAGGTTTATGGTACACATCAACTTTCAAATGTCCCCGTTACTGATGGAAATCTCACAGTCTAAGAAGGCTAACCTGTCATTTTTCATATCATCTGTGGTGAGCCTGAAATAATTTTTCTACTGAGTTAATGTGATCAGTGAAATGTGGTATATCCAGTACACCACTTCCTATGTCCCTACGAAGCAGTGTACTGGCAGATGTTAGAAAGTTTAACCTGCAGTCTTACCAACAGCCATCAGGAGTAGACTTCCACTATTTAGAAAAAGAGCCCTAATCAGGCACCAACTGGGTACCTGGTTATCAGCACCTGGAGTACCAGAAACTCAAAATAAGAGTCAATAGCAGAATAATCTGTGTGACGTTGGCAGAGAAGATTTGGTTTTTGATGTACACAACCCACACACTCAACTCTGCTACTCAACCTGCAAATGCATTTTTTGTGGCACTATTTAAGGAGAAATAAACAGATTTTTCAAAGCTATCAAATTTATTGCCTAAAAGCATTATTACATCAAAGAAAAACCAGATACAAATTTCCTTAGGTTTATGCTGTGAGTTTTACTGTGCGGCTCCCCACCTTTCAGCACACAGTAAACTGGAAAAGCAGAATACGTGTAAAGCCTCTCTGTACAAAGTGTATTTCAAAGGAAGAATAAGGAAGTGAATTTGCTGGTGACTCCTGAGTAAAGCTGATATGAAAATTCACTGGATGACTGTTGAGGCAGTATCCATATTTAATCCAGCACACTGGGATGTAACTCTTTTCTAAAAATCCTCCATATGCTGAAATCAAATGAGGCTACAAAAGCTGCTTCAGCTTCTCAGCTCTAATCCTTTCCTCCATTCCCCCCACTTCTTTTATTTATCCCTGATTATTCATAAAGCCTTGAGGCAAAATTGAGTTCAACCACTGCCTGGTTTATCTGATGAGTGTCATGCCTTCACTTTTTTCTTGATTTGTCTTGGTTCTTTACAAACTGCTCATCATCAGATCAAGTTCAAGTTCAAGAACTTTATGCATTCTATCCCAATTTATGAACCTTTTTCTATTAGTTTAGCATGCCAGAAAACTCACCTGCTATTATTAAAGCAGCACTGAAAAACTCAGCGCTTTAACCCCTGGGCCATTTGTCATTCAGTGCAATTTTAAGGCAGGCGTACTTGTGCATATCTGACCAAGAGCGATAATCACATTTACTGTCTTTTCACACAATATTTGGTCACAATGACAATGAGTACTCCTGAGTTTTATCAAGACAGGACTGGTTGAAAGTTTTGTTGCCTTTTTAAGACCACTTTATTACATTTCCATGGTTACTATTACTAGACATCAAGTGAAGACCACTTCTGACAGCACATCTGCATTTGAATCATAAAGCAACTGTAGTGGATGCTCCAGCCCAGTAGCTCTTCTAGTATTCTACCCCAGTGATTAACGGCCACTGCAGCTAATTAGTGCATAAAATACATTACTGAATGTGTGTTAAGGTGAAATCTAAGAGTGTGAAGATGAAGGTTCTTTCATGAGAGTTAATGAATGGAAGTCTATTTTTTATGCCTAACTTTCTTTCTATAAACATAATTAAGATTTTTATTGTCTCAACCTGCCACTCTATAAAATGCATTTGGGTGTAAATGAAGAACTACCCTGGTGCCACAGAGAGGAAAGAATGTGAATTTGGCAAAGAACAAAGATTGGCATTGATTTCGGCACTGAGTTTCTTAAAGATGGCATTTCCTTTGCCTTGCAAAGGGTTACCAAAATATTTACATATTTTTTATTCAAAACTTATATGTAGCTAATATACCCTAACCTATGCTTAAAAAATTTAGGTTTAGCCTTTCTGCGATTTTTAAAGCTTTTAAGAACAAACGTTCAAACACAGGTCTTTTCATTGCCTGTCTTTACAATCTACAATCCTTTTAGTTGTCTCTTCCTAAACATGACCACATAATGATTGAAGAAATCCATCATTCTTGTGGCTTACTGCATTATTTACTGCATTTTTCTTCTGGCAATAATATTTATAATATATTTCACTACAGGATAAAATGTAGTCATTTGGCTGTCACAAGATAAAAGCCACATAGCCTGCATCAAAACTCCCAGATCACTCCTTGAAGAGAGCAGAGAACAGCTTGACTGTGTCGCACTTACTTAATCTGCCACAGTTAAAGGACACTTTGTGGGTGTGGAGGTGGTGGGTACCCTGGTGTGACTGAAATTAAAGCGCAGTAGACAATGAAATATTGACTGATGGTCCTGGTGACTAAGTTGGATGTGTGAATGTTGCCTTTCATTGATTCCATTGTCTTGAAGGTTATCTCCTCTGGCTTGTGAGTCATGCGGTAATAGTGGTACACTGCCAAGCTCTTAGAAAAGAAAATGTCGGTGCTGCTTGGAAACAGAAATGTCGACCATGACACAGATGTTGACTCACAACTGAAAATTATGAAATGATTGCAAGCATTCAACCATAAAGAGATTTTCAAGGCCAATTGAGACTGCAGCCAGGCTACTTCCTGCTGCTCCCGTATCACTAGGGGTCACCACAGCTTACACTGTGCCTCTACCATATACTTAGACCATATATATAGAGGTAAGAAGTTTAACTGTGGGATTTTATGTGTCTTCCTACAGACAATCCTGGTTGGGGACAGTGGTGTGGGGAAGACATCTCTGCTGGTGCAGTTTGATCAGGGCAAGTTCATCCCTGGCTCATTCTCTGCCACAGTGGGCATCGGATTCACAGTGAGTGCATGGAACAATTTTTTTTTTTTTTTTTATGAAATTGGACTGGCTTTTGTTTATCCATGTTTTTAGATTTGCCTCTGGCATTAGCAGTGTGGGAGGAGGCAACCTAAGTGTCATTGTGTGAGAGGTGGGGTACACCTTGGACAGGTCACCAGTCTGTCTCCGTTTTATGTATATATGCAGATTATACAACTTATATGTATAATCTGCAAATGAATACTTTCCATCCTCTTTAGAGTTTGCTCATTTCGATAAAAAGCTGATGATTCACATTTGCCACTCAGTGCCATTAAAATCAATGCAGAAAGAGAGGTTGTAATGAGCACAGGCAGTAGCTAGTGTGACGTCACTCACTGGTTTGTAAGTTCTTATTATCAAGCCTCAAGATGACCCTTTCTGTCTTGGTGTTTTGAAACCAGATGTGATGAGAAAGGGATGGTTCTCATTGGCTAATGACTTGTGATTGAAAAGTAATTCACCGGGAGTATCCTCCTTTGTGAAACTTATCACTTGATTGATGAAAATTTACAAAATGGGCCAAGCAGATTATTCAATATAGGACGTCAGGGCCAGGGAAACATTTCCTTACAGTCATTGGACTTAGATGTCTTTTTGCACCTACATGTATCACTTTCCAAGCCTTAAAGCTACATCTATCTTTAATACTATCTACATTAATGACATGAGAATGTAATTAGAACCACCCCGCTGAAATCTTAAACGGTGAAATTTAGAAATATTTTTTAAAACAATTCTGAAGTTTGCAACGATTTAATATAGTATTAAATGAAGCAAGTGGGAGGGTTTTCTTTCCCATAAGTTTTTATACGTTGTGACTTCTTTTTGCAACATGAGTCACCGCCTGCTGACCATTAAATGGAATGGAGGTTTGAGGTAGCTGTACATTGCTTCTCTCACTAAACATATATTTCAAAATCTGAAGAAATAAAGCCACAACTATCTACAAACATAGATAACTTGTCTTTGTACTTTGCATTTTTAATTTGTTCTACTAGCTGCTTGTACTGTTCTTCTGTTTCTACCTCTCTCAGAATAAAGTGGTGACTGTGGATAACATAAAGGTCAAACTGCAGGTCAGTAAGTAAATCAGTTCCAGTGCAAAGTTGATGTGCTTACACAATAGCACTCTATTTTTAGAGTAGTGGCTGGTTTCCTCTTGGGCATCACCATTATAAGTGAAAATAAGAAGTAGCCAAGTGGAAACAGGCCAGTTCTTTTCTGTTTCAGATATGGGACACAGCAGGACAGGAAAGGTTCAGAAGCGTGACACATGCGTATTACAGAGATGCACACGGTGAGGCGATACAAACCCTAATCCATATCACAGCATCACAGGTGTTACATTGGCACTCAATTTTTGTTGGTTCTCTTTCCAAAGCTTTGCTCCTTTTGTATGACATCACCAGCAAATCATCTTTTGACAACATTAGGGTAAGTCTGTGTTTGCACCCTGGGAAAATATGAAAATGTGCTACAGTTAAAGATTTATTTATGAGTGTGTTTGTATGTCTCTTGCTTCAGGCTTGGTTAACAGAGATCCACGAGTATGCACAGAGCAATGTAGTCATCATGTTGCTGGGCAACAAGGTAAGAGGAAATTGTTTGAGAAGCTTAGCATGTGGAGCAAAAAGTGCAAAAGAAGGATATGATCTGTGCTGAAGACAGCAGTTTCTGGATCAGGGCATTTTGTAAAGATAATGTAAACGAGTTATAAAAGAGTTAGAGCAAAGTGATAGTGCTGCTTTGGGTTCAAGTGTCGGGTTTAAGTATATGTAACAATATGAATGCAATGATAAAAATGTGAGTGGCGCCACATCGTAGGTAGCTTAGTAATAATAACATTTTTAAAAGCTATATATAACATATATGATGCTGTATCACATTTTGTTATATATTAAATTTACAAGTCCTCACAAAAAAACAGTGTAAATTTAATCAAATGTACAGTCGCTGCACTACTTCAATCACTATGCGTGTATAAAAGTATCTGAACTACCAGCAAACTACTACAAACGTGTTAGACTACTAGTTTTATTACATGATCTACTCTTCAACACTGAATAGTCGTAGCAAACACTGAAAATTCCACAAGATATGTGTTCCTTTAGAAATATCCTGATTGATCTTGTATATTATGTAGTCTAAAAATGTAAATACTCATACCTGTGCATGGTTTTGTTCAGCTTTAAAAAAAATAGCTGTATCAAGATGTACATTGTTTTTTTTACTTAATAGTTTAAATGTGTTTATTTTTCAGCACCAAGTCTTTCCTAAAATCCTAAACTAATGTGTGTTTATCAGGCCGACATGAGCAGTGACCGAGCGATCAGGAGAGATGAAGGAGAGAGGCTGGCCAGAGTGAGTATTTTATTTACTTCCATAAAAACAGAACTGATAGCGTTTAATCTGCTACTTACTGTGTTGTGCTCTCTTTGTGTGTTCAGGAGTACTCAGTTCCTTTCATGGAGACAAGTGCCAAGACAGGGGTCAATGTAGATCTGGCCTTCACTGCTGTGGCCAAGTATGACACAGACGCCACACAGTAGCTTTTGAACAGTCCATAAACTATAGATGTGTATGATCTGAAATGGTCCTTGTTTGAGCCAACAAGAAGTCATGTAATGGGACTAAACAAAGATAAATTATTATCATTTGCTTTGCTTTTCTTCTTCTGCCACTAATTTCATTTTCATATGACAGCAGCAAAGTTGTTACTACTGAATTTGAGATTGTTTTTTCACATTGCTCAAGTTTATCTCACATCTTTGCTGAACATAGTATATATTTTCAGAAAATTCCAGGATTCATTATAAAGAAATGTTTCAATTCCCTTAGTACTATATAATTTAACGTATTTATTGCAAGGGATTTATTCTTAAGTAGTCCACTACTATTTTCATGATGCTATCTGTGTTTTCTTACCACAATCCTCTGCAGTAGAATAATTCTATCAATATCAGTGTTATCTTCTAAAATATGCCTTGTTCTGTTCTTCAGGGAGTTGAAGCATCGGGCCATCCAGCATCCCAGTGAACCCAAGTTCCAGATTCATGAATATATTGAGGCACAGAAGGAGAAGTCAGGTTGCTGCAGCTACTTTTAAAACTTATCTCCCAACTCTTCCTCCTCCCATAGCTCTGGGCGAACAGACTGTCAGAGACACATTACTGAGTGGGAGGAAGCCCTGTATCTCACTGCTGCTCACAAAATGTTACACTGCCATTCATTCAAGACTAAAAGCCAAACGTACATCAGTGGATTAACCATGCTACAGACCCACACAAATTTTCTTTAGCTGAATACCTCCAACTCTCCAGACGTCAGTTTGCACTACTGATGCTTTCTAAAGTACATTCAAGGAAAGAGTAGTTATTTATTTGATATGTTACAAAATATTCCCTCAGGAATTTTTTTTTTAACTTAGATGATCAATATTAGTCTCTTGTATTTGTTTTTTTTTTTAATGCAATTGCAGTCAAGAGTTAGTAAATCTGGAGGCAGGAGCAAACAGCTAGCCTGACCCTGTCACAAACTACCTACAACTCCATAACATAGTTTTCTCATTTGTTTAACATGAACCATGCTAACAGACAGTGTATCCTAGCCTGTTAGCATGAGAACTTTTACTAATTTTGATTAAGCGCAGTGCAACCGATGCTAAAGGAGCCTTTCATTTAGAGAATATTTGGTTATAAATCCAATTAAAAACCTTTTCATGACATTTACATGCATCTTCTATTTTTAAAATTGTATTTATTTATTTATTTATTTGTAAGTAATTATAATAAATTATAATTATCTATATAAAATGTATTTTCTCTTGGTGAAGTTATATGATTCATGTGTCTTTGGAACAGTTATTTTTGTTAATATTTTCTGTTGTTTCCTCACATGTGGACGGTAAGGCGCTAGGCTGGTTAGCGCTTTTGCCTCACAACAACAAGGTTACTGGTTTAAGTCCTGGTTGGGATCATTGTGTGTAGAGTTTGCATGTTCTCCCTGTGCCTGTGATGATTTTTCTCATGCATATTGGGTTAACTGGTGTTTCTAAATGAACTGTAGACCGTATGTAAGGAACTTAAACTACTTGGAGCATGTAGAATAAACATTGGCATGCAGAGCAATGCATCTGTGAACTGTGTCTCTGGGAGAAGGATTACTGTGAAGAGCGAACATTCGATACTAAGTACTTGAGTTGTTGTCTGTTATTTAAGGAAGCGTTATGTACATACAGCATGAGTTGAATAATTTTATATGTGTTATACTGTGCAAAAGTCTTGGGTCACCCTTGTAATAGTTGCAGCATCTCTTGGGGGGGGGGG